TTATATTAAAAGGCCTCTAAAGGTCCTATTTTACAGGCTTTTTCTAGAAGAGATCTAGGGTCATAGGAAAGTGGGGCTGGAAGGGGCCTCGCAAGTTCACCAAGTCCAGACCCCTGCTCAAGGCAGGATCATCCCTGGCTAAACCATCCCAGTCGTGTCTAACCTGCTCTTGAACATTTCCGGGGATGGAGATTCCCCAACTTCTCTAAGCAGCTCCTGTTCCAATGTTTGACCACTCTTATAGTCAGAAAGTTTTTCCTAATCTCCAACTAAAATTTCCTCTGCTGCAGTTTGAGGCCATTGCTCCTAGTACTGTCCCCTAGAGCCACAGATAAAAGTCTATCTTCATCCACTTTCATAGATTTCATAGACATTAGGGCTGGATGGGACCTTGTAAAGATCATCGGGTCCAGCTCCCTGCCCAAGGGACAGGAAGTCAACTAGGGTCAAAGGATCCCAGCAAGATAAGCATCCAAATGTTTCTTAAAAGTGTCCAGAGTAGGTGCTTGCACCACCTCGCAGGGGAGTCTGTTCCAGACCTTGGGGGCTCGGACAGTAAAGAAGTTTTTCCTTATGTCCAGCTTAAAACGGTCTTGCAGGAGTTTGTGACCATTGGACCTTGTCATCCCTTGGGGTGCTTTGGTGAACAGGCATTCCCCCAGATCCTGATGCACACTGCTTATGTACTCTATAAGTTACCTTCAGGTATTGGAAGACTGTTCTCAAATCCCCCACTCAGTCTTCTCTTCTCCAGACTAAATAATCCTAGTTCTTTCAGCCTTTCTGCATAAATCACCTTTCCCAAGCCTCAAATCATTTTTGTCACTTTCTGCTGGACTCTTTCAAACTATCTTTAAAGGGTAGGGCCCAAAACTGGACACAGGACTCCAGGTGAGGATGCAGTGGTGCTGAATAGAGTAGTAGAATCACTTCCCTTTGTTTGTGAGACATACCTGTTTATAAACCAAGTATTCTGTCAGGTTGGGCTTTTTTAACAGATCTAGTGATCTGTTAGCATTTCCAAGGGTATAGATACATGTACATTTGGAGCCATTTCAGATAGGGAACATTTCGAAAGGGCAGCAGCTGTTATGTTCTCAATGTTACTTGTGAACAAACTGGGAACAATAGAAATGTAGCAAAACCACTCTAACACTGCTTCGTTCAAGGTAAAATCAGGAACGGTTTTACTATATTGGTATAATACCTGTCTGGGCCACACATAACAATTAGAAAGTAATAACTGCTGCCCTTTTGAAACGCTTCTCTTTCGAAGTGGGTCCAAATGTAGGAGTGGGTTCATTTCCTAAAGTGCCATATAATATTGAGGTATTGGTAGTTCCTCCCCAGCCCAGCCCACATACGTGTATACCTGCCGGACTACTCACCCTTACACAATCTACCAAAAAATACCCACCCTCCCAAACTGTTCAACATACTACTCAGTAGGCCTGTGCAAAGTGGCTAGTATTTGCTTCAGATTTGGATTTGGCCGATTCGGGGGGCAGTGATTCGATTTGTTGAATCGAATCACTGTCCTGAATCGATTCAGCTGAATCTGATTTGGAGATTCGGCTGCTGCCAAATCTCTGAATCTCCAAATCACCCAGGTCCATCCCCTGCCCCTCTCCCAGCCCAGCAATGGCTCCCTCCCCCCCGCAGCATTTGGGGGGGAAAAAGCCCCAACTCATCAGGTGCTGCCAGGTGGGGGGGCAATCCCTGATGCCCCCCACTGCCCCACACCACATGGGGGGCGCTGCATGAGCCCCTGACCCCTCCCCACCACTGTCACAGCCCCCCCATGGCTGCCCTGCCCACCATGGTTCCGGGCCTTTAAGAAAAGAAAAAACCCAGAAAAACCCCGCACTCACTGTTCCTGCCAGTGGGAGGAGATCCCCACACCATGTGGGGGGCTCTGCATGAGCTCCCCCAAAGCCCTGGGGCCACTGCAGGAGCAGTGGCTTTTCTCTTTTTTTTTTTCCTTAAAGGGCCAGAGCTGTGGCGGGGGCGGGCGGCACGCGTGGGGGGGGGGG